GTCTGAATGTAAGACTCCATGAAATCTGGAGGCTTCTATTTTTAAGGAGTCACACTGCATTTAAAAGTTTGCAAACGACGTTTCCTGTGCACAAAACCAGCACGTCAGATATTTTCTTTGCCTGAACCCCTGACCCTCTGCTCATTACTCAAACTCAAACTCAAACTTGCAGCAGTCAATATTACAAGTTCCCTCTCCCAGCTTGAGTCAGTTTTATTGATTTCTCTAAAATCAAGTATTTTGGGTTTGATTCAAAAAGCTGAAGGCATCAGCTCTCATTATTTAGCACTATTTGTGCCGTAGGAGGCTTTGACATTTTCCACCTCCTTCAATAATAATGTGGAACCCTTAGACTGATAAAATACCACATCTTTTTCTTAACCTATTTGGTGCCATTTAATACATCTAAATGTAACTCACAAACTAATTTTACCACTCCTTTTGCTTCCCAAGTAACACACTCCCCATATGGTCAAATATTAATTCTGTGGTGTGCAACTACAAGACATTGTAGTTAAAATAAAATTAGCTGTTTATTATTCTAGCTGTACAGATATACTAATAAAAGGGGGTTTCAGTGAGGTTAAACACAGAGTTTTATAACAATTAAGAGTCATGAGGTTTTGGAACCTGCTCAGCTGCAGCAGCAGCTGATGCTCCAAGACTTTGATGTCCCAACTTTGCTGTTCCCTCCCCAGGATTTCCAAAAGCAGCAGAGGGTTTAGATTCTACACACATCACCTTTCATCTCAACACAACCTGAAATAAATAGAATTATTCCCATAAAACTGCCAATATTTGTGCACCTGGGTGTGTGCACGTGTTCTGCACGTTGGCCACCTCCTTCCCAAGGACAGGGAATCCCTGGAATCTGCAACTGGACCTTCAGCAGCTCAGAGCTGATTGCCACCAGTTGGTGACATATCAACAGGCAGCAAAAGTCAACACCTTCCTCCTCAATTAATCCCCAAATCATTTATTTTATTTATTAAAAGAGCAATCGCGCTTTTTTTTTTTTTTTTTTTTTGGAATTAACACAACTGGAAGAAACAGGTTAATTCCAAAGTGAAAAGCCTCCTGCTTTCAATGATGGGAGACTTGTAGCAACAGACAAAAGCATTCCATTTGAAATTAAAATGTCAAATTATTACCTTCTCTTTTCCCTCCACTGCCATCAATCCAAAATCCAAGCAGCAGCAAACCGGAGTGTTAAATTTTGCATCCCAAACAACACCAGCAGAGGCAAAGCAGGGATTTGGCTTTTCCTTCTTTTTTTTTCTTTTTTTTTGCTTTTTTCCCCCTGCCCCAACACACCAACTCTTTGTTTTTCCCCTTGCTCTCCAGGCTCTGAAATCCAGGGCGGTGATTTGGACATCGCCAAAAGGGAGATTCCCCCAAAAACAGCCCCGTGGAGAGGGAGAGGCTGCCGAGCCAATTCAGCTCCTCCATCCTCCTTCCCAAGGTCACAATCTCGCCCAGATTTTTCCAAATCATCCTCCAAGCCCTTTTAATTGCTGCTTGATCTTAATGAGGTGTGGCTGATGGTAATAAATGGAAGCCCTGGCGGCCTCGATATCCAGCATCCAAACCACGTTCCGCTGAGTTCCCATCGCCCTCCATCCCCTCCATCCCTCCCTCCCCAAGACTGCAGACATCTGTTCTTCAATTGTCTGGTAATAAACACACTCTATAAAGCATATGTAAAAGGATTATTACCCTCAGGAGCCAAGTGCCTTTCAAATGCCAGCTGAAACAAATAAACATTAACGATAAAACAGAGAGAGAGAGAGAGGGAAGGAAAAAAAAATCCCCACCAAACAAATGTCACACCAGACATCGCTCAGGCTGCTCCAGATTCCAGGATTTGGTCCTGCACGATTCCTTCCTCCAGTGGGAGATGTTATTCCTCAGACCAGCAACACCAGTGCTTTCCCAAGTCAAGGAAATGCTGGTTAACAGCAAAGGATGAACTGGACTCCAATTTTGGTAACTTTTATACTTCAACACCTCCCATGAAAAGTAATTAAGGGAAATCAGACACGTATCCTGCTCCAATTTGGAATTTTCCATTAGGAAAATCTATTTCCCAGGAATCACCTCCCCCTTGTCTTTCAGAAATTCACTCCTCGTTTCTGTTTCTTATGTGTGTGGAGCGTCGTTAAATCCTGGTAATTAATCTGGGCCTTGGTGGGTCTCAGTTGTTCTGGTGGAAGTCAGGGGACCCACATCCCAAAACCTCACTTCCCACCTCTGGTTTGCTGCTCTAAATGAATTCCAAGGGAAGGGAAGCTTTGAAAACCATTGGTGAGTATTTCCCTTTACGCTCTCCGTGGCTGTAAATTCTAATTTCTCTGAACAAACGTTGGTCATGGGGGAGTAAGGGGGTTAATTTACAG